CCCAAGTCTACTTGGTTAGCTATGCTCTTAACTGGATCGTTGTTAAGAAAGTAGCAATGAGTTGGAGGGTTACGTTTGCGGGATATCCTAAGTAGGAAATGATAAACTGCATCCCCCACACAAAATTTGTCTAAAAGAAAGAGAACTTGTTCCAGTTTTTCTTTGTCAGCTTGACTTAAATTGGAATCACATGCATGGTCTTCTGAGTAGTCAATAGAGTAATTGCAACCATCCTTGTCTTTCAACTTGATTTGGTTAAGTTCAAGGCCGAAGCTTTTACAAAACCATAAAACGCATTGCGCTTTATTTTTAAGAAGCCGGAGTCTCCTACCCTTTTGTTTGCCACCAACTTCGTTAAATTTTCTTCCCTGACAGTTTAAAGAGTCCCTCTTCTCAACAGTTTCAATATATTCTGCTAATTCTTTGTTTACATGTTTCAAGTCAGATATTTCCTGTTCCATGTTGTCTTTCTCAATCATCATTTGTTACAATAAATTACTTAATCTCTTCTTCCAAATCACTACATTTCTTTTTGTAGACTTCCAGCTCATCTTTGCGTTTACTTATTTCAGATTTAATTTGCTCAATTGACTCTATTTCACCTCTCTTGATACTAAGTTTATATACCTTGTCTTTTAGCAGTCCCCTTTTCCTACCTGTCGTATGTTTATAGGCAACGGTTACAGCTGCTGACTGCATGCAAAGTAACTCCTCAATTCGATCACTCTTTACAATAAAGCAAGCATCCGTCACGGTTGAATTGAGTAAATCAACGTAATTTATATTTTGCCCGGATGTATTTTCTTGAAGGTTGTTCCACAACCGCAGCAAAGGCCAAGGAATCTCCACACAAAACAAAATCTCTTTCAATAAGTCCACATGTCGCCTTACATAACTGAGAGGAGGTTCAGAATTAAACTTTATTTTCCAATCTAATTTTCTCTTTTTATAATCTTCCAGAATCTCCGACATTTTCAAATTTACCGCGAATATATTTTGAAATGCCGCCAAATATATGCACGTAAATTACTGATTCAAACACGAAAAACTTCACACGATCACGCAAATATCTCTTCTTTTGGCGTGGCAAGAGACTGGGAGCGATTTTGAATGCAAACAAACAAAATAGCTGCTCGACAAAGCATAAAAAACTATAATGGCTTGTCTTTTTGTTTCGAAAGAGAGGGTTGAAGACGCCATATTGACGTCTGTAGCAACTATGAAAATGGGCAATTTTCAAACGATTTTGGAACTAGTTTGCTGTGGGGGACTCTACGATTTTTTTAGCGGTTTTAACAGATTAAACCTCGGAAAGATCATCGCGAGCTCCGCAGTTAGCATCACACGAATGTATGATGGACCATTCAACGATTTCTGATCACATGTATGGCCCTAATTACTATAGATTACACTATATGATGCATCGAATTCGCTGTGAAACACACGTCGATCTCGGGAACTACCTAGATGTGGATAAATGCTGGTGATTTTAGTCTACAAACATGGTTTATTGATGTCCTTACTATTATCGAGCTCCGCAACCATAAAATATTCTAACAAAGTAGGTGAAAATTTGATATTTTTATCAGTTCCTGTATAGTTTATAGTAAAATTTGGTCGCCATATTAAGGCAATGTGCGCATGTCCGCGGCCATCTTGTCCAATATTTCTGGTATTAAATGTACAATCTTTGACAATATAGATTGGAACAATCTAGTTTTCACTAGTCTCCTACACATACCTACTTAGCGGGCTGTGCCCTCACGTAAGGTATGCATGCTTACTTTGGCCAAGGTGTGGCTTGACCTTTAACCTTGAGGCTTGGGACGTCAAAAGTTTCAAAACATTTAATCTTGAACATTTCATATCTTCATTTGTACGTATTTATATCTTAAACTAGAGCCGCTGCGCAGGCTAATCTTAAACCGATTATCTGCGAGAGCTGAGAGATATTTGTTATACATATACCACTCAACAATTTACGATATGGAACAATTGTAAAATCTGTTAGAATTTGTCGAGCTATTGTTTTGAACAGACAGTGCACGTGTAGTATAAAATCGAACGATGCAGTATCACCTAAAATATTTCGCGATGTTTTGATAACTTTACAAGCGTTTGCAGGTGTTACTGTAACACGGGTAATATACTGGACAAAGACGTCAAGACAAAGTTATAAAGTTACAGTGTACATTACTGCGGGTGTAGATAATAGATTTATAAATACTGATTGAAGATTACAGAATTCAGCCTATATAAAATATTGAATTGATTCAATGCATATTGCGGTTTCTAAGTTTGTATATGACTAGCCAGTTTTAATATAAAGTTTATTAAAAAACTCATTAATAATTCGTGACGAAAATACAAAACAAATCACGGGTGTGAAGGAGTCTGTATATGTGATACAGATTCATGTTGATTTACATAAACTTTAACTTTGATTTTCTCGGCTTACACAACGTTTATTTTTAAAATTACTACGCCAATGAACTGATAAGACGAGTCGCGTTCGTGTTGTATCGGAAGTAGTGATAGACCCCCATATGGAGTTCAAAGGAATGCCGCCAATGACATCACGTTGCTCCGAAAGTAATTGGCATGCAAAGTCTATGACGTCACTTTGCTGGCCACAGCCCTAACCCTGGTCGAATTGTGAGAGGTAGCGCGACCAATTAACGGGGGCAGGTGATCAATTAGCATTACAGTAATGAGAGCAAAACTATGGCGTCACTCGCGCAAGCCTGGGCCAAACGTGACAGGTAGCGCGACCAATTAACGCGGGCAAGCCTGGGCCAAATGTGGCAGGCGATCAATTAGCATCACAACTAGTTTCTGACAAATTTGTAATAAAACGACAAGAGGTTTCTTATAGTTTGCATGTATAAAAGTATGAAATAGAAGTTAGTTTTTAAAACCTACCGTTAGCTCAGTTGGTAGAGCAAAGGACTGTAGTTATTACCAAATC